TTCTGCAACGCTCTCGTTGCAATGTAAACACCAATGGCGTAGCAATTTGGGGTTCAGTTCGCGTCTAGCAAACAAAAAGTTCTACTCCAACCTTATTTACGGTCTGCAATATTTTTGTTTTTGGTAATATGTACAAGACGAGGTTTTGTCAAAAGAAGATATAGCACGAATCTTCAAAATGGGCTCAATCAAGATACTAAGTTCGCAGATGCGTGAAAACCCGGTCAATGTTTATGGACAAAATTAAATTCACCAACTTTCTTTCACTCTGTTTCTTTGTTGGGGTTGTTCAGAATTCGCGCAATAATCTATGTTAGAACTGCCAGACACACGGCCTTCGCCTCCGCGTTTGCTGCATGGTTTCACTATAATCAGTTTAATAGACTATGATGAAATCGTATTCATCTTATGACATCACATGGTATCAACATGGCCGATCAAAAATGCGCCAGGAAGTGCCAAAAATGGCAACTTTGGAAGGCCATAAAATCAGTTTGGATTGAGCAATTTTAATTCTGTTTGTGGTCAGCAAGTCAGGAAGGAAAGTACCTTTAATTAAGCTAAAAAAAAATGTGGGTCGAAAATTTCGTTGCAGTAGCATTAAGGATCGACGCCTTTTTGCTCTAAATATGAGTTATCCTAATTTGAAATATGAACAGTTTATAATTATTATAGATACTGAAAGACGTAGTATTAATTCAACATGTCTTTGAATACAGTCTTTAATGGCCGAAACGATTCTTCCCACGTCTGAGAAAATTGTTTCACTTTTCTGATTGGCTTATATGCATTGCTTAATTAAAATAAAAAACAACTCCCCGCTAACTCGATCTAAATCCAAATTCCTCAACATATACTGTATAGTAAAGAATTGTATTTAATTCGGTCTGATGATGACTAAAGTCGAAATTAAAACTTACAATTTCACTAAACGTTTGTCTTGTATTAATTCAAACCTTTAATTTCAAGATGACATTACTATTCGGCCGAAATTTGTTTCTTCTTAAACTTATTTTAATTAGATTGTCTGCTCCAAACAGTGCTCAATACTTAAGTACGTAGGTTAACTAGAACTTGATACAGTAAAACCCAGCTAACTCCAACTCCCCGCTAACTCGGACTAAATCCAATTTTCGCTGGATTTTACCCATGAAAAATTTTACAAGAATTCGCACCGGTTAACTGGAAGTCCTCGCCAAGTCGAACAAATTTCATTGATATTTATAATTGTTTCATATAGGCCTACTTTAGCTTACTTTGATTTGTTGAAAGCCTCTTCAGTTAATTACGGTCCATACAGACCGGACGCGATTTGGCAACGCGACGCGATCGAATCGCGTTCGATGGACCTTTACTCTGCTTCATTCTTGCAAGCCAAATAATTTTTAATCCAATTGTGAGATTAGGAAAAATTCTCGTACTGTAAAATTTTCCCATAGCGTAATGGCGTTAAAACAGTGAAGGCGAACGGTTATTATTACAGGTTGACTAAATCATGCGAGAACTAAAATTAAGCCCTAGTATGTTAAAACGCCCTCCTCAAACGGGTTTTCAATAATTAATTAAGTGCAATTGGTAAACATTTCTCAGGACGTGAACACGCACAATACTTACAAGGTTAATTCACTTAACTTAATGACCTCACACTTAATTCTCCTCAGCCAATCCCACTTATATTGAACTATATCCAACAATTATATGTAATCGTGCCTAACATCTAGCGAGGAACGTCAATTATTTCCATAACTCCCAACTTTGACCTATATTTTTCCTGTTTTCTCTTCTTCTGTCGGCCGGGACAGTTGTTGTCTAATTGTAAAATTTTATATAATTATACATATATATATTAGTGTAAAATGACTACAATTTAGCCTAATTGGAAATAGTTGTTCAGCAGCGGTCTTGCTTCTTGAGTAATCATTTCCTTCCTTTGACGGATGTTTTCTCGCTTTTTGATCCGCATCTGTTTTGATGATGACTTTAAAATAATTTCGAAAATTCACAGTTTCAAATGTTTGTCTTATATTAATTCAAATCTTGAATTTGAAGATGGCTATTATTATTTGGAATTCGTTTCTTTTTGAACTTTTCTTAAATTGTCTGCTGGCCGTGGCTTTCAAAACGCCATACCTTGACAGAATAACATAAATTTGGTTCATGTCTAGCATATCTTAGTGAACCTAATATAAACATCTTTGAATGAACAGAATATTGGCTAGATACCCGCGAATTTATATGGGTGTAGATAAAAGGCGGACGGATAAAAGGTGGACTGCGGAGGACGGACGGCGGAGCATTTTATAAACACATGATTACTGCCGCAACTAATTATAATACCCTAAATTAAAGTATACCAGCCTTAGATCTGTGAAATGATTATGTTTTCACCCGTTCGAATTTTTAGCAATGGAATTTTTTAATCTGCATTCAATATGTATGTATGATAGGAGGCCGATTCGCCGTTTTTTGCGTGAAACTTTTGGAAATATTGTAAAAAACCGCCTTAGTGTTGGTGCTTCTGTATGAAACTGCCCTAACACTGCCATTGAATTAAAATATTATTAGGCGGGGCTATTACATGACATTCACTTGCTGTCATTTTCATACTTTAAATTGTGCTGATTTGTTTTTTCTATAATGAAAATAATCCCCGTTTTACTTGCTAAAAGGCTGACACGTAGCCAAAGTCCATTCATGTGAGTGCTTACAAATTACTACTCCACTGTATATAAATGGAAAGAAATTACAACCTTCGCTAAGCCCTTCAAATACATACAATAGAATACCCAATATTTACGCTACCCAACTTACATTGCCCAATTCAGTTGACGTTACACATTATACATTTTTCAAACAGCTTGTTACACTGATTACTGTGTGACATTCACATATATCGTATAGATATTATAGTATATCATATTTACATAAATACGTCAGGAAAATATCAATAACTCAATATAGTTAAAGAAATGACAATATATATATAAATGTTAAAGAAATGACAATATATATATATATATATATAAAAGACAAACTTGAGTTACTTCATTTAAAACATTTATTCACGACAAATTTGTTTCGTATGGCAAACTAAGCTTGCCACACTCATCAGGTGAATGATGATATCGCGTATTTACATGATGTTATAACCTATAGGTAACTTGAGCTATTATATAAAAAAATGTTTGACGTCATTTGGAAAGCATAAGCCAATGTCTGTAACCTGAGCTATTGGCTGCAGAGCAGGAATTGTTTCCTGTGCCTACATGCGGATATCAGTTCGTTTCTTGTGTTCAAAGAGCTTAATTTGGGAAAGAAAATTATAACAAACTTTTCATGCAGGCATAATTTACAACGTTTTGTTTTGTTTGAGTAGGCCTTACATTTCTTTAAAATTTTCCAGCGGATAGAGTATTGTATGTTGGATTGTTTCAACTGCCAAATATATTTACTCAGTTCGGTTGAATGTTTATGTTCCGGGTTCCTGAACGAGCTTGTGTGGTTATAGTATCTCACTTTAAATGGGCTCGCTGTGTGTCCAACGTAGGTTTCTTTCTGCTGGTTGTCTTCTCTCGTTACTGTAGCCTGGTACACAACGCTTTCGGTTAAACATTTGCCAGGGAGGGGGCAGGATTCTTCCTGGCGGCAATTGCACTTCCTATCGGGATTTTTAGTAGCCTCGGGCTGCTTGCGATCGAGCACGGTATATATATATATATATATATATATATATATATATATATATATATATATATATATATATATATATATATATATATATATATATATATTGCGTGTTCAAACTTTATAAAAAATTATCTTAAATCACGATCCATAGCCTATATACTCAATACCTACTACCTATATGTTATGTACTATTTAAAAACACGAGTAGGAGTGTTTTATCTATAAAACGCGAGGCGCAGCCGAGCGTTTTATGTCTGATAAAACACGACAACGAGTGTTTTGAATAGCTTTAAAATACGACTACAAAAGAATACTAACTAGGATGAACCATATATGATCATACTAATTAGGATGAACAATTATATAATGCCAGATGCTTTAAATAGTACATAAAGTCACTCCACGTGACATATTATGGCAGACATAATTTGCAACAAGGTTTATGAATTATTAATGAGAGTATTTTAGATACCTATACTTACCTACATAAAATCGTTCAATAGCCTTGAATGACAGAAAAATGTCGTCGAGCAGCACTAGGAGGTTAAAAATTATCGTTCAATAGCCTTGAATGACAGAAAAATGTCGTCGAGCAGCACTAGGAGGTTAAAAATTATTAATTGGGCTCAATGAAAATCCACCCCATCAAATGGTCCGCCCCTAATATACATAATATTTCTAAAATCCATATATAGAATGGTCGTCACATGCAAATCGGCCATTTCTACGTGTGAACCTCTTAGGTTTATAATTAAAACGGGGATTATTTTAAATGACAACAAGTCTAGCTACAAGCACTATTTAAAGTACAAAAATGTCAGCAAGTGAATGTCATTTAATTCTGCCTAACAGAAGCTCCAAAACTAAGGCGCTTTTTTACAATATTTCCAAACGTTTCCCGAGAAAGACGGCGTATAGCCTAGCTATCATACATAAGTATTGAATCATTTGAATGCTGATTAAAAAATTCCATTGCTAAAAATTCGATCGGGTGAAAACATATTAATTTCACAGATCTAAGGCTGGCATACTTTAATATAGGGTATTACAATTAGTTGCGGTAGTAGTCATGTGTTTATAAAATGCTCCGTCGTCCGCTGTCCGTCGTCCGCTGTCCGTCCACCTTTTAATGCATTTACTTATTTATTCGAAACATGATTGACACAAAATAGAGAAATATTGTTTTGTTACATAACAGGAAATGCGTGTTTGTCAATTAATTAATCAAATACCAAAACACTTGAACCTACCTGTTAAAGCTGTGCTAACACATCTGATATACAACACCTATAAAAGCACAGCTCATGGGAGAGCGTAGATTCAGTGTACGGCGTAACAAGCTGTCAAAATGTGCAAGGCAAATGTGATTGCGCTATTTGTTTCCAAGCATTTCCTTCCTATCGGAACAATATGTATCATACCTCTTGGAATTCTTTCCCCTACTCCTGCCGTCTACCTTCATGGAAAACTACCTGTAGTCCAGATATGCATTGTAACATTATTTTTTGTTATTGGAACGAAATTTCGTTTAACAGAAATTCAATCTGCTCTACGTTGTTATAAAGAGACTGCCTTTGGAATAATCGTTGTTCTATTGCTCACTCCAGTTGTTGGAACGAAGTTACTGATGCTACCAAAGTTTCGAAAGGTTCCCAGGTCAGCTTTAGATGCAGAAAATGGTACATTGAACAATAGCTGGACAATTGAGTTACCAGATTTTGGTCCGGAGGAGTTTCGAATTGGTCTGCAGATATTTTGCGTTTCTCCATGCGCATCAGCATTTCCTACTGTAGTGGTGAGTGTATTGTAATAAGATACTGCATGTATATAAGTTAAACGTAACGCTTCCGTGCATGGTTTGTCTCTGAGCGCCCTGAAACTGTTGAATCCTTTACTGCCTTATAGTTTCAGCAAATATAAAACAAATGTGGTTTAATTGATTCAAATGAGGCCGTTGAGCTACGAGAACTTATAATTGGTAGTTAAGAAATTTGTCTGAGCTTTCGCCGTCTACAACTTCAACACAGACTCAGGGTCTGGATTTATAAAAATACAACTACTAGATAAGAATACATTTATCAATGATGTGCTAAAAATATGCATTGATAGATGAAATTAATGTGCGGGAAAATGATACTAAAGTGTACGCATTGTAAAAGCTGTTCTGCTAGTTCATTGATTTCCTCTCTAGAGTTGAGTGATTTTGGTTTCATTCTGCGAATACATGTGGCTTCTTTCAGTCATATATTGACTTGATCTGGTTCGCTTGATTTAAGAGGGCCTCTCAGTAAAATCCACCCACTGGTTTGGGGAAGGAAAAATAGATTTAGCTCATACTTTGCATGTGAACTAGACTTTGGTCAATATTAATCGAGCTTCTTTCGAGTTATAGCCCATGTTGAAATGTGACCTTGCGAGAGTATTTTCAGACCGGAAATGAAGGGGAATTTTACACTGAGAATTCATCTGATTTTTTAAAAACGTTGTGATGCGTTTATCCCCTCCAGATACTGTTCGCATGCAAGATTAGCACTAATACTCTCGTTTTCATGGAGGTTGAACAACTTTATTTGCTTAATACTATTTTTTTATAGTTTTACGAAACTATGTTTTCAAGATGGCGACGAGAGGCTGAAAATTGCTCATATTGTACTTAAATAGCTCAAAAGTGGCACCTATCTGAAGTTCAAACGGCATGTAATTTGAAAGTATACCCACTAAAGTTAAGTAATCAGGAATAAAACTCGTCTGCAAGCAATTTTCTGAAAAGTTATAAATCTCCAAATTGGGTCTATTTTTAGCTGTTTGTTTACATTCGCGTGTTTGCTGATCAGCGACATTAGAGAGTTTAAAGCCCGCCGCACACGAGAGCAACTTGCTGAGCTAACCGCCTCGCGAGGCAGCTAGCTCAGCTATGTATTTTCACCGCACACGTTGAGAAAACTACTCAACCGCAACACAATTGACAAAATCATTTGCATTTTCCTCCATTTTGTTCCAAGTCACATGAAGAAACCATGGTTTGTCATTGGCTAATTGATTCAAACAGCTCAGCACTTAGCTCACAACATCCGCAGACGTTGAGATTTTCTCCTCGCGAGGTGAAAAATATCAAACACGACAGATATTTTCCTCAAGACCTCGAGAGGTCAAATTCTCACGAAAACTATCCGCACACGAGAGCTACTTGCTGACCTAACCGTCTCGCGAGGCGGTTAGCTCAGCAAGTAGCTCTCGTGTGCGGCGGGCTTAAGATCTACGACGCGGCCGGCTCAACGACGCGGTCTGAATTTCAGCTAAAAAATGAACGCTAAGCAATTTCATTACTGTAATAAATGTTTGACGATTTTCAAATAACATTATAAACTGCTAAGTTTGACTAAAGCGATGCAATGCTTGCTGTAATTTCGACTTTAAGTATCACCTTTTGGGTCGCAATAAGCTTCGCGTTGCTTGAAAGACGTGATAATGCTTAGTTTAACCGATAACGTTCTGCTGAGCATGACAAAGCCGTTGAGAATACCCCTGGGACCACAAATTATTCACAGTTTTTGTCTTGCGTGACAGATTTCTTTCTTTCGCAAGCGCGTCGTTGAGCCGGCCGCTTCGTAGATCTTAAACTCTCTACTAATAATTGAAGAGTTAAAATAAGCTGATTTATTACCCAGTAAACTTTCTTAGCTTGTTCACAAAAATATATACAATTTGTGAAAATATAATTACAATATATACAGGGTGTCTCAAAAAAACCCAAAATCATTGAAATAACGTATTGTTCGAATTTCAATGCCGTAACACAAAGGATTTTGACAGGGTGATTAATTTGTTTTAAAAAATTAAAATATCTTTGTAAAGTGAACGTTTGTTTGCTCATGGGAATTTAAAAATGCTTCGTAAATTGTAATATGCGTAATATGCATTCGTGGGTTTAGTACTTTATGCCTGACATAACAAGTTTACGCTGAGTATTACCATTCATTATAGCAGTTATGTCAATCTTTTATGCACTCGTGGGATTAACTTAGTGCTAGGGCATTGAATATCGAACAATACGTCAATTTCAATGATTTTGGGTTTTTTTTAGACACCCTGTACAAGTGATCGTGTACAAAACATTCCCGAATTCGAATTGCTTTACATTTACACTTGCACTAATTACACTCACACGTACAGTAATAAAGTTACAACGATTCTGCTGGTGTCTACGACCCTAATATCTTCTAATGTTATTAAATATATATTGGAAATGTAATAAGAACTTCGTCAAAAACATTGACACAATACCATAATCTCCTGATTATGACTTTGATCTGCCGCTCCCACGGCGGTTCTCGCAAGGTCAAATTTCAACATGGGCTATATAACTCCTATAAAACAGAAAGTTGAAACGTTCTGAAAGAAGCTCGATTAATATATTGACCAAAGTCTAGTTCATATGCAAAATATGAGCTAAATCTATTTTTCCTTCTCCAAACCAGTGGGTGGATTTTACTGAGAGGCGCTCTTAAGTTGTCGTATGGTTATGGGTCAACATGCAATGATAACATTCGATTTCATCAGTAAACGCATGGGGAATTTTCACTGTACGAGAATTTTTCCTAATCTCACAATTGGATTAAATTGTGAGATTAGGAAAAATTATGAGAGAGGCTTTCAACAAATCAAACTAAGCTAAAGTATACATGAAACAACAATATAAATGAAATTTGCTCGACTTAGCGAGGAGTTCGAGTATAGAGAGTTTGCGTTAACCGGAGTACAGTAAATTACAGTATAAAATTGGGGAAAATCCAGTGAAAATTTGATGTAGTCCGAGGTAGCGAGGAGTTGGAGTTAGCTGCATGGATTTTGCTGTATCAAGTTCTACTTAATTAATCTACCTAAGTATTGAACACTGTTTTGACCAGACAATTTAAAAGTTTAATAGAAACAAATCCGGAATAATAATGCCATCTTGAAATTCAAGATTTGAATTAATACAAGACGAATATTTAAAACTGTGAATTTTTTTTTATTTGGGGTTTCATTCTGCGTATATGCGTCATGCGTGGCTTCATTCAGCCGTACGTAGATTGACTCGATCTGGTTCGTTTGTTAAAACCATCACTGAAATGTTGCTGTGGCCACGCTGGCTGGGCAAGGTGCTTGAAAATTGAGGATGAAGAAATTTGAATTAGTATAGTAGCTCCTTTATTCGATCATGGAGATTTCGTATTGTGCTATGTATTTAATTATTTATTAACTTTAGAACCTTTTATAGCTGAACAAATAGATAAATTTGCGAATATACTCATAGATGAAGGGAAAATAAGGCTGAAGTTATAGTCAAGTGGACAAGCCCATATTAAGGCCAACCAGAAATGGCACACATTTTTCGGAATAATATGTACTGTTTAATAAACAAGCATTAAAGACACGAGCGCGCAGCGCGAGTGGCTGTAGACCTAATAAAACACGACCGAATTCAAACACGACTACAAATTCAATAGATATACTGCCTTATTAGTATTCTTTATATAAAGAATACCAATGAGGACACGACTACAATAGACACTGCCTTATTAGTATTCTTTATATAAAGAATACTAATTAGGAGTGTTTTATCAGGTTTAAAGCCACTGCACGTGACATATTATGGTTGACATGATTTGCCAATAAGCTTATGAATTATTAAGAGTGTTTGGAATTAGTTTTAAACACTTGAACACACCTTCGCCATTTCGTGCGAAGGCCCTCCGCCACAGGTTGTGAGTGGAGGGGCTTAACCGAACCTCTCTATATTTTTATTTAACAAGATTCCCGTTAAATCGAGACATTGAATTTTAAACCTGTGCGTTATTAGTCAAACAGTTACGTGTTCAATCGTTCACTCGCAGAATGTCCATGCAATATTTGATTGTCTGCGCGTACACCTTTTATTTGTTGTAAACCGCTTCAATTGTTTCTGTTAACGTCAATCGGATCAGCTTTCAAAGTGTAGAAGGCGGAGATATCAGCATGAAGTGTAAAAAACGCGTTTCACTTTACATTAACAAACCACATTTTGACATTTAGCTTGTCAATCCCTATCCCTATAAAGCAATATCGAATTCCCAGACACACTTTCTTTAGATCAATTATCAAGAAATAATATTTGTCTGACGACAATTTCAGCATATGTTTTGGCTAAAAATCGTGAAATTTTTGCATCCGGCGATTTAAATAAAGGCTGTTTTCTATTACGGCCGCTTTGCCCGCGCGGGCGAAGCTATTTCGTTTCGGCATGCGCAGTAGATTTCGTTCCCTGGCGAACTCGCGCTATTGTTTACTCACATGGTTGGAATAAATCAATGAGATACTACTACTACTCAGATTTCCTTTCTTTGTAGAGTTCAGAATCTCTTTTCGTGCTTTTCTCTTTTATTCCGCCAGTGGAAAGTTAGTGGAGATTGGACTGAACGGGCGTACGCACGTGCGCTTTACGTGCGCAACACCCGCGCGGGCAAAGCGGCGGTAATGGGAAACAGCGTTTAGCCCCCAGCAAGTCATACAAACTAATCAAAACCGTGATTATAAAGTAATCTTTTCCGGAATTTTTTGTATAGATTCTTCAATTCGCTGCCAAAAAGTGCAGGGAATGGCGCTTCCGAGTCTGAATTTCAACCCTCAAAAATCATCTTCCATGTGCGCTAGAGCTATGACTTTAAAGTCCGTAATGTAAATTGAAATGTTATATTTGTAAAATATGATACACTAACTGAATAATTTCTGGTTCGCTATGCTTGTAAATGAATATAAAAGTCTACGTTTCAATTCAAAAAAGTTCGAAAGATGCAAAATTTGGGCAATATTTGCATCAGCGCGTCTTTGATGAGGAGAACGACTTTACAGCATGCAGCTTTAAGAGTACGGCAGACCGGTAACGGCAAACTACAAATCGCATGGTAAGTTTTACAAGTTTGAAGTTTTCGACAGCTAAGTAACCAATTCATGCGGCATGCTTCAACTTATATGCAGAATAGACCTTATTCATAAATCGTGATCGAGGCCTCGTATCCTAGGAAACGGGGAAAAACGCGGGAAAATTGACAAAATGTTTTTTTGCTGTCTGCTATGGCAGCTTTTTTTCGTCAATATTACGGCTTTTTTCGAAAATAATATCTATAAAACTGAGTTTGAAAGTTGAAAAAAATACTTTTGCGAAAATATAACATGATATTTAAAGCAAAAGATGCTGGAGTCAATCGAAAAAGGAAACCTTTGACTTTGTATTATTGTCGTAGTTTGTATGGCTAAAACAAACAACCAACAAGCCTACAAAACGTCTATACAACACCAAAATCGTAAGAAATATGAAACTATTGTTGAAGAAATAAGATTACAACTCACTCAGGTAATGTAGCCTTCATTTTTTAAACTTGTAAGCTGCTTGCAGAATGTTATCGAGCCACAGCCAAAGTTCATATTTTCCCGTATGAATCAATGACATTTGACGTTCTCTTGTGATTTTTGACCTGTTGGTTTCTTTCATATTAATGTCAAATTCGAAAAATTATACTTTCATTCCATAGTTGTCTTGATTTTTCACGGAATAACCTTTATATTGACGTTAAATTCTCAGTAAAATACTGTTTTTCGCTTCTGGATAAACACTGTCGCTACGTTGTCATTTTTTCCACACAAAAACAGGAGAAAAACCGGTCGCTTTTATAATATACTCGTTTATCGCTTTCGTTGTGGGCACACAGTCTTGAAATACACACAAAAATCGTTATAAATCGCAAAAAGCAACAAGAAACAAGCCTAACATAGCATCTGAATTTGGCTTGTCAAGCAGTTTTCGCTTGTTTTCCCGCGTTTCTTCCCCGTATCCTAGGATACGAGGCCTCGTCACGATTTATGAATAAGGTCTATTTGTCCTAATTTCCAACAGCTAATGTTTGACCTCAAAATACGATTTGACGGTTTGCCGTTTGTGGCCATCCGTCTGCCGTAAACATCATTAAGGTGTCTAGTGTTTTACCTGACGTGTACTGGATATTAGAGAGTTTAATTTAAGTTCGACTTCCAATACCGATACCGATGTTTTCACTTCCGTTCTCATTTTGATACCGGGAATTTTAAAGCGTTAAGTTACACGACAGATAAAGTATAGAACACATTAATCGTCACCGAAAATGTGTGGTATACTAAACGGCAGCTGAGCTAAAATTCCGACTAAAACACGACTCAGGCGATGCTAATAAACAAATAGTTGGCATGTTTATCGTAAAAATGATGAAATATATGAGTTTATCTTACAATTTACCCGACTTCCAATACAAAGCCGACTTCGGTAGTGATGACTTCCAATACACTTGTCCTCGTGCTTCTTGCGAGCAGAGAGCATGCGCATGACATGTTGTTAGTATCGGTATTGGTATCGGAAGTCGAACTTAAACTCTCTATTACCTCCGGAAACCGGCCGGCGTTCTGTCTCCACTGTAAAATTTAGATTGTTTGTATAGCAACATTTGGTGTTAATATAAAGCCGACTTGATAAACATTAAGCTCGCAATAACAAATTTCTCAAACATGCAGCTCCGCAGAGGCCAAGTCGAGAGGTTAAGTCGAGAGTGTTATGATTTTCCACTAGTTAACATGCACAACTCAACGAAAACGAACTTAATTTGATCATGAATAATAGCATGGTCATGGACATGAGTCATCGAATTTTTTTACAAACTGAAAGGCCCAAAGGGAATAAAAATGTAAATTCGACGGAAAATAAATCGGAAAAAATATTAATATTAAAATTTTCTTGCAAAATCTCAAGTGTTGTAGTACTACTACTAAAGATCTGGTGATATCTGCAAAAATCTCTGAGGTAAACTTTATTTTCAATGTTATTTTGATGTTTGAAGTTAGTCGACTCCCCGCGACGTGTTGACTCAAGTCTAAATATGTTTACAATGTTTAAAATGAAATATCTAGAATTCGCATGGTTCGATTTTCCTCATTTTTGGTAGTCGTCAAGACAAAAGTATAAGCTTTCAATCTGCTGGAATGATCCCGGTGATCCCCCGGCAGTTTTCGAGATATTGAGCGTTGAAGTGACTACTGTCAACTCGACGTTCGCTAAAATGGCGTCTAATACCGTGGAAAGAATTTGCGCCATCAAAGATGATATATTTTCAATGAATTTTTGTTAAAGTGCTAAAATATTATATAGAAGACTTCGGAGTTGTTTTAATATTTTTGTAGAATTTATATCTGTGCGATTTTCAAAGTTTTGTTGTCTTTGGCCGACGCGACTGGATCGTGTACGTATTTCAAGACGAGCTGATCGCCTGATCCTGGGGTTTTTGTGTCAAATCGTGCTGCGGAACCCTCAACATGGACAAATCAGTGTCACAACAGCCCATTTCAAACCACCAAAGAGCTCCACTTGTTTTAAAACAATAAAACAAGTTTTTATTCTATTATCATATGTATCATATATAAACAAATTAAATGAGTGGTCATTATTTATGGGGAGGGGGGCTGGTAAATGGGGAAAATAAGGATTAAAAACTTTTTTGACCCCCTCCAGACTGAAGGCAAACTTTTTGTGCCTCCCCCCTAATAAAAGTAGAAAATTTTCTGACCCCCCCCCCCAAAGTGTGGATTGAAAAATTAACAGCAATGAAACAGGCGTGCATTGCAGCAGGTGAAGTTAGATATTAGGACAATCTGTTTAATTAAATCTAGCTCATGATGTTTTACCCTGGTGAATATGATTCAATCGTATATGATTAAAAATATATATATATAGATATATATATTATGTGTTACTACTGCAATACAGCATTTGTCCTACCATAACCCTAACCCATGGCCCATCTTCATACAGCGAAATGATTTGAACACAGGGCTTTTTTTAAGAACTTGTCTGGGGGGGGGCATCTACAAAAAGGGACCATAATATACTGAGTGTGGAGAAATGACATATGGTTGTTGGTGACAAAAAGTTTGGTGTGGTATTGTATGTATTAGTAAGGGGTCTGGGGAAAATTTTTTTGTATTTTTCCTTAGGACTGAAATGTGAGCATTTTCTGAAACAGATTTTTGCATAAACAGCGTTACATTGTGCCTTGATAGAACGAGTCTGATCAGTTAAGTGCACTTGCATGGTATGTTTATGTAAATACGACAACTGGGTCACTCAGGAGGTAGGAAGCTTGTTAAACGTAGTGGGCCCCACTCCCCAATTGAAAATTTTGAGTCTCTAGGTCATTGGAAATGGCATTTTCAGAGTCTCCTTTTTTGCTATTTGTGATTATAGAAATCAGAACTCTAGACATGGTATTTAAGTTCAAAAACTTTTTTGACCCCCCTCCTTTCTCTGCGTTAAAACTTTTTTGACCCCCCTATTTATAAGGGTAAAACTTCGTTCCCCCCTCCCATTTACCAACAATAAATAATGACTACTCCCTAAGTGGCATGTTATTGTTGGGTTCTCGGATAAATTTAATAAATATATAAATAGACATCTTCTTGTTTTATTATTTAAAATTAGAATTGTAGGCCATTGTAAACATGCAAAAATATGTAGGTGCGGTCGTAAACATTTGTGGGAGTGGCGGCAATACGAATTTTTTATGCATTTCCTCAGTTCGCAATATACTGATTCATACATTTTATGTAAAGAACGCATCATGCTGGCTCAATTGCATATTTTAAGTACATAGTAAAATATGTTAGTATATATTGTACGCTTAACCATGAAAAAAATTGCATAGTCCCCCACCCCCCGTCGGGGAACATAGCCCCTCCGTCGGGAAATTTCTGGCGCAACCACTGGCACTTCCCCTCAAACGTTAAGTTATTTCAAAAAATTGACGACAGTATACTTTGTTACTTGCTTAGTGTTGCAGGGGAACGGTGAAGTCTAACTGTAGTCTAGGACCTGTATATGAGTTTGTATGCATTTCATTTAGCACAGGTAATCTCAACTATTTTAGGGTAAAATGACCATGGCGGTCAACATGGCATATGTGCCAAAAGCGGAATCCGGGACGAAAGTCCTGAAAATGACCCCACCCTGAAACGGCAGTGTCGACATAGCTCTAACTTCAGAAAACAAAAAGCGATAGTCTTTCTGAAGTGCTTATAGTGTTTAGAAGGGTTGCTTTTAGGGGTGGTCATTGGAAGAAAAATTTGTCTAAGTATAATATTTTACAAGAAAATGACCATGCACCACCCCAGGTAAATTGCTGATTATGCATAAAATAACTAATATGCTAATAACTAATATAATTGGATTGGGACTATTCTACAATGAAGTACTCTTGGATAATGTAATCTAAATACATATGAAAACGAAGAAGTGGCATTTATCGGGCAGAGAAGCGGCGAGCCATTAAAATGGCGGCAATTTGACGAGATATCGAAGGACACATTATCGAAGATAAAATACACTGCACTGTTTCAAAAGTGGATGAAACCTTCTTTGAAATCTTCTTCAGCCATTTATGATTATGTAAAAGTACAATAACTGGATGATATTTGCGTGATTCGGCGATAAAAGGCAAACAAGACGGCAAAATATGGCTGAAATCGCGTTTTCGTGGGGGGTAAGTGAAATAGAATTTATTATATTTAAAGAAAACAATGACAATCCTTATGAAATCAACAATATTTACATTAAATTAAGCATAGTTTTTAACCCCATGATAATTTTTTTTAGGAAATAAGAATATTTAATTTCTACCAGGCATATTAGTTATTTTGCAGTTGAGATTACCTGTGCTAAATGAAACGCATACAAACTCATATACAGGTCCTAGACTACTGAATATTTTAGAGAATGTGTATAGGTTATTTTGAAGCAACGAGGGGATATGTGATTTATTCACCGAGGCGCGCAGCGCCGAGGTGAATAAACACATATCCCCGAGGTGCCTCAAAATAACGTACTTATTTTTCACACTGCGAGGTCGCGTTAATGAGTCAGGAAAGAAATAATTCTTAATGCCATATTGCCTTCGCGATGTTGTTTTTTTCTCATTTTTTGCGCTGCAAAGACATTGCAGGTGAATATTAGAGGGGATTATCAATTGCAGGTGAATATTAGAGGGGATTATTAAACGGAAATTGATTAAAGGGGAATATTGATTATATTCCCCGACAAGAACAAAGGAAACCGAGCAGGGTGAAAAATAAGTATAGGTTATTTTATTCACAGAGGCGCCCAGCGCCGAGGTGAATAAACACATATCCCCGTCCCCCAGGTGCCTCAAATCGGAAATTAATAATCTGAAATCGGAAATTAATATATTTGGCGCAGAATAGTTTACAACGCTGAACTAAGGAAAGAGCATGTTTTCGAGTGCAATTTAGATATAACATGCACGAGTGAGTTTTTCAAAGACCTGATGAAAATAGCACGAGTCTGAAGGACGAGTGCTATTTGAGGCCTTTGAAAAACTCGCGAATGCATGTTTATCCAAATTTCACGAGAAACAATGCTATGACTTATTAATAATTTACATAAAAATGTTCGAGACAATAGGCAATTCCAGCTTTTAATTTATGCGTGCAGGGGACGATGGGAAGTAAGGTATCACATTGCTGATTATGCTGAAAAAATAAAAATAGTGGGCATGTAAACACGGAGTCATACCTTGTACTTGTAAATATTGAAATATTTCGGTTGTTTCGGTAGTTTTTATTGAAATTTTTCAGCATAATCAGCAATATGATACCTTACTTCCCATCATCCCCTGCAGGCATAAGCTAAAAGCTGGAATTGCCAATTGTGTAGTTTTAACTGTTCCACTGGCAAAGTTTTCCTGGCTTTGCTATATCACATTATACAAAGCTAACAGCTTGAAAATTCCACTCAACTATGTAATTTTTGTTAGTCTTTTTAAGGTAAATGCTTTTCCATTTAAAAATAAAGATAAAAGCCATATTTTCCAATTTCCACGCGAAGGCAACCGTTTTACTTTGTGTAGCGCGGCACCATGTTTGTTTTGTTTTGAAGCAATCTGTGACCGTTACTTCTTTATTTAAACTAAATTGAAAAGAACAGAGCCCAGCAAATAACTTTAAATCCAAACATAATAAAAGTAAAACATTTTATTAGCTAACGTTTCGTTGTTTACAATACAACATCTTCAGAGCAATCTAAATGAATTTACTGGGTATTGTATATATATTTACAACATAATGGTTTAATATTACAAAAACGGTTACATAGCTTGTAAGAACAAATGAATATATAGAAAGAAAGGAAAACAACTTATCAGTAAGTGGTTAGTAAGTAAAGATTAATGTTAAGTGCATGGCTAGTGTATTAAGGTTAATATTACATAACTAAAATAACTCAAGAGGGGTAGATCTAATATTAGCATTAAGGACAGGGTTAAATTGAGATATTAATAGGCTTTCACGGAAATGCTTTAAACTGATTGGTTGATTTAATCATCACAATGTTTTTGCACCAATTACACTGTGATTACAGAAAATTTATATATACAAATAACCTTGTAAATACGATAATGTTCATTGATCATGTTCGATGTCTACATAACCAAATTCAAACTGTATTAAAAAATGTGCTCAATTAAAAAAATTATATACATACAAATTTGCGATACTGGGTCTGAGCAATGGTTGTATAATCGTTGATGTTATTTATATACTCGCAAGTTGTGATCAGCACTACTGTGATAAACACAACTACGCTTTCTACTTGACAGGTTTAAGTAGCTGAGGAGATTGGAAATATTTGCCTGACATGGCTGTGTTGTCAAAACATTTTTAGTCGGAGACTCGGCATAATTTTGAAGCTTCTAGATAGCATTTAATATGGCTTTATATTTTAGTAAACACGAGTCATATTTAGCCCGTTATTCCATTCTGACCACGTGGTAGCGAAACGGGAGCATATTTCATTGTTCCGACAGCATTAGGAAATTTCCATATAACATTTTCTATTTACAAATGCGGTATGCTTGGTAACCAGGCCAGGGACCACTTTTTTGAAATCAGGGACCATTTTACAGAAATCTGCTAGGGTCTCTCGCTGAAGCGTTCAGCACACCCAGGCATAACACTTTTAAGACTTATTTAAATATATCAAAGCAGCGAATAGAGAGAGAGCCTGGGACTAGGCTGCACGGTCAGTATTGTGTGGCTTGATATATTTAATATACATGCACGAAAGTTTACGAGTATTATAATGAGTTTATCTCACAGTCAATAGACGATAGTAACGGACAAAGTTTGAATAATTTCTGGTCGCAAAGGTATCCTCAATAACGCTGACGTTATCATTCTGAATGCAACGTTAAACTCTAACATTTTCGCGTCATTGCAGCAACGTGTATGCTTGTTGCAACGTTGCAGGTGTTCCATAAAATCTGATTCATAGCAGACACCGGATCGTTTTTCCCGAACATAGCTGTTTGTAAGGTTATTTTTAAAAAGCTTCAATTTATTTATCTTGAGCTGAACTTGATAACTGAACTTGTCTTTGCCTTGTCGTCTTTTCTATAAATCTGCCTAAAAGCAACTACAGGGTGTATAAAAAAAGCTGCAATATAATTATTGCAAATTAAACACTATTATTTGCATAATTCTGCTGCTTACTAGCATTTCAAACATGTCTGTGCTACTTATTTTGCTCCCGGGATTTGAAGAAACATTCTAATTAACCGCGTTGATAGAAATTAGAATAACACAAACTTATTTGACAATTTGTAATGCAGAAAACTAATTATCAGCCGTTCGACTGCGAATGGGTCAACTATTGTGTTTACGCACGCTTGGGATCAATTAGTTCTGAATCATGCAAATTCTAAAAACATTGTACATATTTCAAAGAGTTTGCAGGTTTTTTGATACACCCTGTACAGGGTGTATAAAAAAAAGGAGTGGAGACATTTAGAAATCAAGCATATTGTTAAAATTTGAATGCCTTTTCAATTGCACATATGCTGAACCGTAGTGCGTGAAATATTGATGGGGTGCATATATTAGAAAAAGGAGACTTTAGCAATGTTATAATTTGAATCCTGGAGCACTTTGCTAAGCCCACGAGTGCGTAACATGCGATCTACGTACAGTATGCATGGCAGATTGTTCCCAGGAGCAGACAATCTTTTGTTTAAACGTTATTTCAATTTCTAAAGGTCTCCTTTTTCTAATATATGCACTCATCAATATTTCACGCACTACAGTTCAGCATATGTGCAATTGAAAAGGCATTCAAATTTTAACAATAAGGTTGATTTCTAAAGGTCTCCTTTTTTTTATATACAGTGCAGTATATCCGACACAAATCAAAATTTTAGCCATGCAGTTATCGCTTATTTTTCTCCCGATCGCGCAGCTCGATAATGTGCATCGCATCACATAAGCTTCATGATAAACCCAAAAACTTGCACTACCTTCTAGCTCTTCTCTACATGGTTGCCGACACCTATTTATTTTCTTGCATAGTCATAGATGTCAAGCAGTTCTCCATTATAATCTATATAGTAGCATTGTAAAACTTATGGCATAAAGTTAATTGTTTGATTTGACTAACAACCATTTGTTCGATGCTTGGATCGCACCCATAAAAGCTTAGAATTTCTCAGTGCAAACGGTTTCAAATCCAAAAGCCTCTCAATGTTTATTTTTCTTGCCCCTTGAGCTGTCGATGGGTGTTGTGGCGATGCAAACCGCAGCAACTGGTCATGCTATGCAAATTTTTAAATTAGTTTAGTCATAGCCTATCGAAGGGAAGATGGCTGTGAAACTCATTGGAATAACAATATAACAATATAACTCATTATCTATGTTGGCCAACGTTTATTCATAAATCTGGTCCTTCACCGTCACGTGTGTATTGTATTCTTGCCCAGCTAACCAATAGCAATGTTTTAGGAAAGTCACCTATCCGTGACTCGAACAAAAAGGAAACTGGAAATTGCTATTGGTGGTTTGGTGGAAAAACAATACACACGAAACGACCAGATTGATGAATAAACGTTGACTAACATAGATAATGAGTTATATTGTTATTCTAATAAGTTTCACAGCCATCTTCCCTTCGATAGGCTGTGGTTTAGACGTTTAGTATTCAAACTGATAGAAAAATATTGTCTTTAATAGGTTTATTGGCATAGAATGACCAGTTGCCATGAAGGTCAAAAGCCATTTTGTGAAATTTAATCCCCGAGCCGACGGCGCGAAGCGCCGTACGAAGGTACTAAATCCCCTCGGCTATTTACACCCGGGGAAACGAAAGCATTAGCGAAGTCTAAAGTTCATCAAATATCGCGGGCGTGGGTCACTGTGCGTGGGTGGTCATCCTCACTGATCTCAAAAATATGGCGGACTGTCATGAATAGCGAACACTGTGATTGGTCCAATTTAAAGTTTGCATTATAACGACTGCCTGACGACAGCGAAATTAGCAAACATTTCTGGATTTGATGATTGATATATTTTTTGCAAATATATTTCATTGTTGCTTGCATTTTTGCAAGATTTTGTAAATTTCGAAAAAGAAAGGGCGAAAGAATCGGCTAAAAGAAGGGAGCCGACGTGAACGAAGGTAAGCTTAATTGTTTTAAATATATATTGATTTTATAATTGCTTTAAAACCCGACGGCCTTTGGCTTTGCGTATATGAAACAACTAAACAAGACAGCATATAATTTCATTGCATCTTTAATATCGATAACCAATTTTTTATTATATTGAATTTTTTAAATAAATAAAAAAGAAAGCAAAGTTATTTGCATGCGAGAATTTGAAACTCATTTTATTGCAAACTCAAAGTTTATCGATAAAGCCATTTAATTAATAAAGGCAGTTTTATAGAGTTTATAAAGAACACTTTAAAACGTTTTGCGAAGCGTGGGTTGAATTTTACCTTAAATTGAAGCTTATATTGCGTATAATATCATACCTAACATATATATGTTGGGAAATTGATAATTTTGTAATTAAAAGTGATATTTTTAGGCAATTTTTCATTTGTAAGAATATTCTTAAAAAATTATCGTGTTACCATAACAACTACTTTAGATACTTCATGTTCGGAAAATATAATGGTTTCGTCAGCAAGGGGAGGGTTTCTGCATGCATGTATTTTCTAGTTAATTTGTAATTAGCGCGGATTCTGAACGACCGAGTCAAATGCACGAGAATCCGCACGACCGAAAAAAGGTGTCAACTGCACAAAATTTGTGGAGTGTCCCTATATGTCGTGTGTCGTGGGTTAAGAGTCGTGTGTCGTGATTAAAGTCGTGGGTAAAGTCGTGGGTCATAAAATGTGCTAAAACCGCATTTTCCACGAAAATATTATTTTTAATTTTAATTTTTTTTTCGTACTTTTTTCGTACGCAACAAATCTCCAGTAATAAAATAAAATAAATGCTGTTTCGTAGCTTGCTGTTATCTATAGTATAACTACAAGTCAACTACTAGTCAACTCCTGCAGGTGTTACACGTCATTGGGAACAAACTAGACAACAAGTGCCAAGTAGACACATTGTACTTCGACTTTGCCAAGGCATTTGACAAAGTAAACCATGAACTGCTGCTTTTGAAATTGAAACATTTTGGCATCTCCGGTAATCTCCTATCTTGAATACATGATTATCTTACTGGTCGCTATCAGAGGGTAACAGTTCTCGCCGAGACCTCGAATCCATTACCTGTCCTATCTGGTGTGCACAGGGATCGATTCTCGGACCACTACTTTTCTTGGTTTATGTAAATGATCTTCCAGACTGTGTCTCAAGTTGTTCATCAATGGCAATATTTGCGGATGACTCTATTTGCGGTTGACTCTTGCAGTTTCAGTCTCATATTGCATGGAGCTTCGGCTCTGTGGGTGCGCCCTTCCTGTTTTTGGGTAAATAAAATAAATAAATAAATATAACAAGTAAATGTTGCGTTTCGTATAGTTTAATAAGTCTATAGATGAATTGTTTCATGATAAAATGTCTTAAGTTATAGGATATAGGTTTATTAATTAGCTTTGGAAATGTTATAGTCCCTATCACAAACGTTGCGAATAACTGTGTCGATTATATGCAATAACTATGCCGATTATATGTCGATTATATGCGCAGCAAAAGCAGAATTTTTGCATTATTGATAGCATGAAGTCATATAATCAAGGATTCCCTTTTTTATAGAATACATTTTATCAAGGGAGACCCAAAATTTTGCTAGGGGGGGGGGGGCGGTCCACCCGGCCCCAATCCTGGCTACGCCTCTGTAGTGGATAAATTACAGTTTCAGCTTTCGCAACACTCTTACTTAAACCGCATTTACAGCTTCATTGTTGGTCATCTTGTGTTTTTTCTCTTTCTTTTTAAAATAATCGGCAGGTACCGATTAATCGGCCGATTATTTATGATACAGGTCCTGTTTCCTAACAAGTAGTATTCTTAATCACGTGTTCTTCGTTCGTATAGGTAACAGCAGCCAACGGTAATCGAGCATTGACATTATTGATTGCAGTAATGGCGACCACTATATCAGTCTTTACAGTTCCTGTTATGACTACATGGTTGATACCAGCATTTCAGACTGCCAGTGTTAGTAGCCTAACTATATTACACAGAGTGGCTTTGTTTATCCTTTTACCTTTGATTGTAAGTATCATGCACAGTATAAAATGCGAAACTTTAAGCCTGCCGAGTATTTGTGATGAAAGCTATTCAAAACCTAAAATATTCTTGGCTAAGGGTGTTGTTAAAGGGGGCTGTGGGGGGAGGTTAGTTGGAAAATTGTTTTATCCCTGTTATCAAAACATGAATTGGATAGGAAGGAACGAAAATAAAATATTTGAGTGAAACTTCTGAAAAGTCAAACTTCTACCTAAAACGGTTTCTACATAAAACAATCCCCCCCCCTCTCCCCCTCGACAAGAATTCCGGAAAAAATTGTCTTTACGTTGTAGAAATGACTCGGCAAAATTTCACTTACACCCACCAAGAAAATAAAGCTAACGACGCCCCTGTTTTTTTGGCGGGATTCCTCTCAAAATTACTTTCTTTTAGCTTTATTTTGTGGCACGGTTAGCAGCATTTTTAAATGTATCCGGCGTTTGAGAAAGACAAATAATAGTTTAATATTGTCAATTTAAATACAGTTATCGTTGATGCTGTAATATTTACGCAGCAATGTAATATTAAAGCAGAACTTACTGAACTTCAGATATCATTTTCTCTTTGGTGTACCATCTAAAGTCTCTTCATTTTAGCATACTTTTACAGATAAAACACTAAACATACTTTTTAAGTTTGTTTCCCGCTTGAGAAAGGTGTAAAAAAATTAAAAATTGATTATAGTCATAACGAAAGTAGTTCATTAGTTTTGAGCGCGTGTTACGTAAAATACAAAAGATTCTCCTCTTAAGGTGGCTCAATACAGTTTTTAAAAAAATGGAAAATTCACGATTTAGATGTATATTTTTGGACAATTATTACTTGTTGATAAACAAAAAGTACTTTACTTATACAAAACAACATCCAAAGAGTTTGAATGTTTGCACTAAAGTTACGCAACTGCCGTTGCTATGGCAACAATGACGTTTCAAGATGGCGGATATTTTGGCTTTAAAGTAATTTAACTCGTAAACGACATCGGTGACACCCAAATTTTATTTAAAAAATGATTTCTCTTAGTATAATCAATTATTTTGACAATTTCAAAAAATTCTGTCAAGCCGAAATTTTTAAAATTACGTAAAGGTGATTATTCATAATAATTTTTTTGGCTCCACAGAATATTTTTAAAATTGTTAAGATAATTGATTATACTAAGAGATATCGTTTTTTAAAATAAAATTTGAGGGTCACCGATGTCGTTTACGAATTAAATTACTTTAAAATCAAAATATCCGCCATCTTGAGACGTCATTGTTGCCATAGCAACGGTAGTTCCGTAACTTTTGTGCAAAAATTCAAACTTCTTAGATGTTGTTTTATATAAGTAAAGTACTTTTTGTTCATCAACAAGTAATAATTGCCCAAAAATACGCACCTAAATCGTGAATTTACCATTTTGTTAAAAACTGTATTGAGCCACCGTAAATGTTTTGTTACTTTGATGAATTTGTCTTGCTAATACTACTACTAGCTATAACGTTTGTATTTAAAATGCATACGAAACAACATATGTCCATGATCGACACAGGGAAAACAACACAACTTAAAACAGACATTTAAAGGGTTTACTAAAATAGGTAAATATTCCTGAGTTTCTCATTAATTCACTTTGAAGCCCCCAACACAGCTGCCAATTTACGCCGGATGATGTCTGGCATAATCAGGGCCGTTCAAGACGCGATGGTTGGGGGGGGGGGTGTATATTCATATATTCGTGTTCTGCCCGACTAATTTCTTTTGAAACATGAATATATTAATATACCGGGTGTCCCAAAAAAAAGTACTCCGGTTTGATTTATAATAACTTCTAAACAAGTATAGCTATGAAACAGAAATAACTTGCATTAAATAGAGGAAGGACTAACTTAGATTTTGATATATTACAGTTGTATTTTACTTAAAAATTCACGGAGATATTAATGTTCAAAATCGGGAGCATATTTTGGGATGTGTCTAAAATTAGCGAAAATCAGCATATCAAATATTA